TTTCATTTTCCTTGATTGACCTGGCCCAACTGTCTTTTAAGAGTATCCTGGACAAGCAACTGGGTATATTAAACAGTTACTGTCAGCAGGAGCTGTTTGATGGGTTCATTAATTCAATTTTTGGAAGTTGTGTTCCCTGGCCAACTAAAAGTAGCTGTTCCCTGTATGTTTTCTTGTGAGTTTGGATGAAATTTTCAGTACGGCAAGTCACATTCCATACTGCCCGGCTTCTTGTCAGATGAGGTACCTAGTAAATATTTCAGCAGTTGAAAACTTTGCTTCTATATGTGTCTGTGCCAGTTTTGTGATCTTTATCAGAAATGTATTTATGTTTCACCATATGGCCACGGGGCTGTAGTATATTCCTCTAAGGATGTCACTTCTGTTCATTTCTGCTTTTAGCTTCATGCATTTTCTTTCCAAAATGCTCCCACCCTCATGTTTCCAAATATCACCCAGGTGTCTGTTTTTTTTAAAACTTTTTATTACAAAGTAATAGAGATTGATTGTAGAAGATTTGAAATACAGGAAAGCACAGATGAAAAGAAAAAATCACCTATGCTTTTCTCACTCAGAAAAGTTGACTTTTTCTTTTAAAGTTTTTATTTAAATTCCAGTTAGTTAACATACAGTATTACATTGGTTTTGGGTGCGTAGTGTAGTGATTCAGCACTTCATACATCGCCCGGCGCGCATCACAAGTGCACACCTTCATCCCTATCGCCTATTTCAACCCATGGCCCCCGCCTCCCCTGTGGGAGCCATCAGTTTGTTCTCTACAGTGAAGAGTCCCTTTCTTGGTTTGCCCCCCCCCCCCCCCGTCTCCCTCTCTGTCTCTTTTTTCCCCCTTTGCTCATTTATTTTGTTTCTTAAATTCCACATATGAGTAAAATCATATATTTGTCTTTCTGACTGACTTATTTTGAAAGGTGTACTTGTACCCCAGTGTTTATAGCAGCATTTTCTACAGTAGACAAATTATGGGGAAACAGCCCAAGTATCCATCAACTGATAAATGGGTAAAGAAGATGTGGTAGACACACACACACACATGCAATGTAATATTAACCATAAAAAAATGAAATCTTGCCATTTGCAACAACATGGATGGAACTAGAGAGTATTATGCTAAGTGACTTTTTTTTTTTTTTTTTTTTTACTTTTAAATAAAGTTGGAATCATTCTGGCCCAGGTTTGTGACCTGCTTTTTTTTAGTCATAACTGTAAGTTGTGAACATCCCACATTATTAAGTATTGTGATGCAACATAATTTTTAATGGCAGTAGGATGCATCATAATTTATTTAACTTGTAACCTTGGTTAGGCATTAAGGCTCTTTCTAATGTTTGTTATTAAAAATAACTTTGTGATGAAAATCTTGCTCAAATTTGCATATATCTCCATTACTTCACAGGATAAATTTCTGGAGCGACAATCACTGCATCAAAAAGAATGTGTATTTTTATGTAGTTAGGTTGTCCTCCAGAAAAGTTGTTTCAGTTAGCACTCAGATAAGGTGTGTATGGAGTGTGCGTCTTTCCTGTACCTTTGTTAATACACAGTGTAGATGACCTCTCCCTCCCCACCAACCCAGTCTGTTAGATCTCCCATTTCTTTCCTAATGCCTTTGGGCATATTATTTCTTCATGACACTCTGTGAGTCTTTTCATGATATTTATCATAATTGCAGTTATATATTATATTTATGATTATTTCATGTCTGTCTCCCCGCACTAGACTACCAGGTTCCAGGAAGGCAGTGACCATATTGAGTTTATTTACCCCTGTATATCCACTGTGAAGCACATAGTATGTGTTCAGGACATTTTTGTTGAATAAATGGGCATTATTGTGAAAATAATTTTCCAATTTGATAGGCAAGTTACTATATTTGACTAATGTCTGTTTATTAGAGGTTAAGCGTCATGCTTCTATTGCTTAATTTACTATTAATTGCCTATTCATGTTTTGTCCGTTTTTTTGAGGAGTATCATCTTTTGATTCAAAGCTCTTCTCTGCCTCTTCTCTGATCCTAGAGGCTCCTATCTGAATATGGTATTTTTTTCCCCATCACTTTCCATCTCTGCTTATGCCCCTATAATATTTTTGTTCACTTGATTTATTATCCATTCTTTGTGTTTGCTAGGTAGGCATCTGAGACAAGCATTATTGAAGTCAGGGTCCCCTCTTATTTCCTGGTGTCAATCACTGATTACCTTCCTCTCTTACTGCCCTTCCCCTCATTATAACTTCTACCCTCCAGTTATAGATACCCCCAAGATTAGCTGAACTTTAAGAAATCTTCCCTACCCCATTCAGCTTAAAGTCAGCTTAATTTAGTGCTCTAGCTTGAGGCAAAAAAAATTTTTTTTTTCCTCCTCGAGAAGCATTCTGTCCCTAGCTAAGAGCCTATCATTTTGACATCTTAAGCCCAGGCCTGGCGACTATTTTCTTTAAAGGGCCACACAGTAAATATTTGAGGCTTGAGGTCCAAATGGTCTCTGTTGTAAACACACAATTCTGCCCTTGTGGGGTGAAACACAATCATGTAGATAATGTATAAATGAGTGAGTGTGGCATGTTCCAGTAAAATTTTTTTTATGAATACTGAAATTTGAATATCATATAATTTTCATGTGTCACAAAATATTCATTTTATGTTTTCCTCCCCAACTATTTAAAAATGTTGAGACTATTCCAAGCTTATGGGCAGTACAAAGACAGATGGTGGGCCAGATTTGGCCCCTGGCTTTCGTTTGCTGACCTTGTCACAAGCCACACTCCAGAGAGAAAAATCACATTTGTAATTCTCATCCTGTCATTTACCTCCCAGTTCCCCAAACTTTTGGAATTTGTTAAAAACCAGCAAAAACCTACCTCTGTGTTCCAAGGTCCTTTAGATTTCCTCCTAAAACTTGCCGTCTTTGAGGCTGTTTCCCTGGGTCTCTTATTATTCATCCCTTTCGAATCAGCCCCTGCACTGGATTCTTTCCTAATTTCTATGCATTCCGCATTCCACCTTTATAATGTCCCCTCTTTCTAGTCTTACTCCCTAGTCTAAGACTCCCATCCAGAGAGTTGCACTGGGCTCCCCGTTGGTTGTCCACCTCTAATATCATTTTCTGCTGACAGATTAAAATTCTGATAGTGTCTCTCCCTTGCTGAAAATCTCAAGGTTTTGTCTACATAACCAAGTAAAACTCATTAGTTTGGCGCCTAAGGTATTCTGTAGTAACTTCCTTCTCCTTCGGTGTTCTCTTCCACTACTTCCTTAGTGCCTTCAGGCAAGTTATTTTTTTCCCCTTTTCCTGTGCTTATGATGTTCCTTATGACTTCATTGCCGTCTCTACCACCCTTCTTTGCAGTGTCCCCCCACCCTTCAGGGTCCTTCAAAAAGGAAACTTTCCCTATATTTATAACCTAATGTGATAATAGGTCCTTCTCTGCTTCTGTCCCTCTTTGGTGATGCCCAAAGTCACCCGTAGGTTATAGCAGTTTATGCTTTTATCTCATTTCCCTACTTAGTTTTAAGTGGCTTGAGAGGGATGACACTGCCGTGACCTTTTTTGGTCCCCTGAAACAGTGATAATACAAGAAGTTGTACTGACTCTTCTAATGAGGGGAGCATGTCGGGATGTGAAGAATCAGTTCTCTTTTGATTCTCTTAACTGTTCACTGGGAGAGCTTTGGCAAGTTCTCTGATGGCAGATGCAGAAGAAGTATGAAGAACATAAGCCCCAGGGCTGAGGCTTTTTGTGAAAGCTAGCGATATAATCCTAGGAATCTAATCTCCCTCCCCCCAGCCCCTTTTCCTATAATCTTACAAGATACTGAAATCGTCTTCATTTTCCAGGTGAAGAAACTGAGACTTAAGAGGTTATACAGTTTGTAAGTAATGACAGGCCAAGTGAAAACAAGAAGAAAGATGAAAAAATACAAAGTTTAGAAGGAAAAAATATTCATAGTGATTCTGTCTATGTGATAGGATTTTAGGTAATGTGTCTTTCCTAGCCTCTATTTTTCCTGCTTACTATCTTTAAACATACATTATGACTCTTAATGCTTTAAATCATCCCATTTCAGATGTTGTGGTTTTACTGGGAGAAATGCGAATCCATGGTCTTTGATTCACTTAGGCCTCCCCTGACGTGGCTGTTCGCCTGGTGGGGTTGTCTGCATGTTCGTCATGCTTCTCTGACCATAACTGCCTGAGCTTCTGGCTTATTTTTCCAAATAGTCCTGTACATCATCTTCTACCTTATTGGGATCTCTTTGCCTTTGGCTTGTCTCAGCTAAAATCCTTAGAGCTCTGTTGTCTTAGCTTATGCCTCTCCTGTCTTTACTCCCTGCCTGTTGCTTTTGGATAATCCTCCATCGTTTTCTCACCTTACTTTTCTGCTTTCTCAACTGCCTGAACTGTCTCCCCTTTCCCTCTAAGTCTTAGGAGTGGGCCTTGCTGCTGAACTCAGGATACTGAAGCCATTAGTCACTCTACCTTCTGACCCCACATTCTGTATCCCACCTGGTTCTTTCTCCCTTCTTTTCTGTTACAACAGAAGAGCTTTTCCTTCCTACCCTGGCTCACATTCCTTCCTGCCTCCTAGGACCTTCCACCATTCAGTCCCTTCCTTGCATTTGGCATTCACTAAGCATATGTTTAATAAACATCTAATTTTTATAAACAGAAGAAAATTAGTAACAAAAACCCTGTCTGGGTAAGAGTAGGAGATTGAGTAGGAGTTTGAAAAATGGAATACTCTAGAATCTAATTGTTTCAGAGAATGTTAATTATCCTGGAAAATTGCAGTGTTGTTTTATAGATTCCATCTACTCTAAATATATTTTATATGGTATGAAATGTTATAGTGCCTCTTAAGAATTTACCCATTTGATTGAAAGACATTTCCTGTGGTAGAGGTTTCCTTTTACATATTGTTCAGATTTACCTTTGATCTTTTTCTTTTTGGATTATAACTTGAACTTTTTTTTTTTCCCCATAGTTGGAGAACACATTCAAATCAGTTATTGCACAAATTGGACCTGGAGGGACTATCAATCCAGAACTAAAGCATAAGATAAGATTTGTAAGTATTTTCTGTTTCTGGGAAATGAATATGAAAATTAATTATACATTTAGATCTCATTTGTGGTTAAATTTACTTTGCTTATGAGTGTTTATTTTATAATTATACCTGATCTTTTCAAATATATTGCAAATGGAGTGGCTATTCTTTTAAGATCAGGAAAAAAAAATTACTCCTAATAATTTTTTTTTTTTTAAAGATTTTATTTATTTGACAGAGAGAGATATAGCGGAACACAAGCAGGGGGAGTGGGAGAGGGAGAAGCAGGCTTCCCGCCGAGCAGGGTGCCGGATGCGGGGCTCGATCCCAGGACCCTGGGATCATGACCTGAGCCGAAGGCAGACGCCTAACGACTGAGCCACCCAGGCGCCCCACTCCTAATAATTTTTAATGTTCTCAAAATTATTTAGAAAATGGAATTCTTCCATAAATGCTGTCCTCCTTTTTTTCTTCCCCTTACCCCTGTAAATCATTGTTAGCAAACAGTTCAAGATCTTTCCAGTATCAGTTTCATATATATGTATGTCAGATATTATTCTAAACATTACATGGCATTTCATTCTGCCAGTGCACTTTCGTTTATGAGATCTGCGATTGATTAAATTGGGGTTGTTTCTAGCCTTGGATATTAAAAAAATGTTACGGTTAATGTCCTCGAATATGTATCTAGAAGTGGACTTGTCAAAGGCATTGAGTAATTTAGTTTTGGTCATTAATACTAAATTGCCCTCTAAAAGGTTTGAACAGATTTGCACTCCCACTCATGGTGAAATGTTATTTTCCAATAATGTTGTAATTTATACCTCTTGACTTTTACATCTGAGCATCTTTCATATGCTTAGTAGCCATTTATATATTTTTATAATTATTTTTATGTTCAGTTAGCCACTGTATAGTACATCATTAGTTTTTGATGTAGTGTTCAATGATACATTGTTTGTGTATAACACCCAGTACTCATCACTACATGTGCCCTCCTTAATACCCATCATCCAGTTATCCCCTCCCTTCTGAGATCCTTAATTCGTTTTCTGGGGTCTATATACATATATATAGGGGTCTATATATAAATATAAATATATAATATATATAAATTTATAATTAATTATATATATACAAATATTTTTTTAATAGATAAAATTTCAATGTAGTCCTTTTTTCCCTATTCAATGCTACCTTTATATATGTACCTGTTTTATTTTCCCTGTAACTCTGTGAAGTAGTGTCCTCTAACAAAGAGAACAAAATACACCCAGGAAGTACTGAAACACCCTACCTTGCCCACATTGAGAGATTATAGCCCCTCTTCCCCTTATCCCCCCCTTTTAAAAATTTTTTAATTTTTAATGTTTTTAAAATTTTTTTAATTTCATAAATTTTATTCTTGGGTTTCATTTTGGCTTTGCTTTTTCGGTGGTGGCTTTTGACTGCTCCGGATTTTCCCAGGCTGCATCTTGCCTGGATTGTGGTTGATATTTAGGACTCTGTACATTTCCTCAACCACCCCTCAACAGAATGACTAGGAGGAGGAACTCCTAACAAAGAGAAGAACCAGAGACAATGGTTTCTCCTGCAGACCTAATGGATATGGATATAAGCAGGATGTCAGAGATAGACTTCAGGGTAGCAGTTATGAAGTCAATAGCTAGGCTTGAGAAAACCATTAGTGGCGATATAGAATCTCTAAGGGCAGAAATGAGAGCCAATCAGGCTGAACTTAAAAATGCTATGAGTGAGTTGCAGTCTAAACTGGATACTCTAACAACCAGGGTAGGTGAGGCAGAAGAATGAATTAGTGATCCAGAAGATAAACTGATAGCCACTTATATTTCTTATGTGAATTACCTGTTCATGTCTTTGGCCTAATTTGTTGTTTTTCCTTGTTAATTTGTGAAAGCTCTTTGGCTGTTAATGTATCGGGTTGAAGGGTATGTACACTTAAAATTTTGGTGGGAGCTATTCTTACTTGAATGATCAGAGTGCTGTTACGACTCTTACTGCTTTAAATTATTCCATTTCGGATGTTGTGGTTTTACTGGGAGAAATGCAAAAACCATGGTACATTCAAACCCTGTTTTTTTGTTTGGACATTGACTGTGTATCCAACAATTATTTATTTAAGAATGTTCAATATGATTTCTTATGGTAACAAAAAATTAAAGGAAAATTAAACATTCATTGGTAAAGGATTGGTTAAATTAACTACTCAAACTAGACAGTATCATGAGGCTCATAAGAAAGTTTACGTATATCTCAATTAATTTTCATGGAAGTATCTCCTTGATCTATTGTTTGACTTTAAAAACAGGTGTTATAGAATAACAAGTTTAGTATTGTCCTTTCATGTAAAATTATGTATAATGTGTGTGTCTACATAAGAGGTTTCTGAAAGGATGATTTATGAAAAGCAGCAACAGTTATCTCTGGTCACAGGATTTTGGAATCATTTTTATATTTTTCTGAAGCTTGATTTAGCCTTTTTAATGAAACATGTAATATTTGGAAAAATCTGGGACAACACAAAACTTTTTACACTTTATTGGGATAGAATAAGTCTGCTTTTAGGAATTTTTCCTAAAAGGTAATTGGACAAGTGTGCAAGATGCAAATATGAAAATAATTATAATATTTGTGACAATAAAACACAGGACACACCCATAAATAGAGGATCAAGTAAATAAATTTATATGGAATAATTTGATAACTCTATAGCCAGTATACATGTTGATCCATATTTACTGACATGGAAAATTGTTTGTGGTATGATAATAAAAAACTTGTTTTGGAAATGATGACCTTATTTTTACATTAAATATAGGTATTTTTATGTACATATGGGCAACAATGACTATGATAATTTTTTCTTTGCTCAATTCTGTTTTTCAAAGTTTTCTATAGTATCCATTTTATTTCTTTTCTACCATTTAAAATGCTTGAGGGATGCCTGGCTGGCTTGGTTGGTAGAGCATGTGACTCTTGATCTCGGGATTGTGAGTTTGAGCCCCACACTGGGTGTTGAGATTACTTAAAAATAAAATCTTTAAAATAAAATGCTTGAAATTATGCTGTAGGATTTTTACTTTATGTGAGCTAAAGCTAAATATATTAGCTAAAGAATTGTAGGAATTTCTAGAGACCTGCGGCATTGCAGTATGGTGCAAGAATGATTTCTCGACTCTGGAAATGTTGGAAGCCTTTTTGTTGTTGTTGTTACATCCTTTTTTAAAACTGGAAACTGATCTAAAAATTATTGTGACTTTTAATTCATTCATTCAGTAATGTTATTTTTTTTTTTTTTACCTTTTTTACTATTTAAGTTTATATGGTTTTATTTTGATATTTTGTTAGCCAGCATCCTAATAGTGTCTATTTATATTGTATTTTATTTTCTGTTAGGTTGTATCCAAGTTTCCAGAGGGTTTGCTTATGTCTAAACTGCTCAGAGAATTTGAGGTGAGTATTTTCTTTTTCATCAACCATGGTTTTTTTATGCCTTATGGTGGTGGATAGAAATTTTGTGTCTATTTCTTGGATCTCCCACCTATGCTCTAGAATTTCAATATTTTGTTTTGCATTTTGCTATCATTTTCTTTACTAAAAGAGTTAAGAATATGATCCTTTATAAGTACTTCATTATATATAGGTTATCTTTACCATTTAATAGTATTATTAGAATAAAAGTTAATTAATTTATTTTTAAGATTTTACTTATTTGACAGAGACACAGCGAGAGAAGGGACACAAGCAGGGGGAGTGGGAGAGGGAGAAGCAGGCTTCCCGCTGAGTGGGGAGCCTGATGCGGGGCTCGATCCCAGGACCCTGAGATCATGACCTGAGCCTAAGGCAGAAGCTTAACGACTGAGTCACCCACGCGCCCCAAAAGTTAATTTATTTTTAAAGTCTGACAATGCCAAGTGTCAGTGGGGATGTGGAAAAACAGAATATGTCATCCACTGTTCGTGGGACAAAACCCCTTTGGAATTTTGACAGTAGCAAGTAAAGTTGAAGACAAGCACCCCCAGTGATCCAGCATTTCCACTTCTACATACATACTTTAGAGAAACTCTTACGTGTGTGCACATGGAGATCTGCATAAGACCCGTGCACCTGGCAGCAGAATGAAAAACTGGAAGCAGATTAAACGACTGTCAATAGGAGAATGGATAAATAGAGATTGACATTTATGTGATGGAATAGTAGATAAAATGAACTAGGTTTATTCTGCAACATGGAATCATCGTCTGTTTAGTGAAAAAATCACGTTGCAGAATGGTAATTTAGACACTGCCTTATATCCAATTTAAAAAAATGGTAAGATCTGTATACATGTTAGCTCTGTGCTAGGCTCTATTCTGAATGCCTTTCATATTGTAATTCATTTGATTTTCATGATAGACTGAGGCACAGAGAAGTAACTTGCCTACGGGTCAGATAGTAACGGGTGGAGTCAGGATTTGAACCCCAGGCAGCCTGGCTTCAGAATCCTAAATCTTAACTTCTGTGCCATGAAAACTGTCATATATTTGCAGATATAAACACAGATTTTGTGAGCTACTACAGCATAATGGTTAATACCTTAACCTCTATGTGCTGGTTTATAAATGACACGTAAAGTCAGGATAATATTATGTAAGAGAGTTTTGCAAAGTTGTTTTTTTAAAGATTTTATTTATTTGACAGAGAGAGACACAGCAAGAGAGGGAACACAAGCAGGGGGAGTGGGAGAGGGAGAAGCAGGCTCCCGCCGAGCAGGGAGCCCGATGCGGGGCTCGATCCCAGGACCCTGGGACCATGACCTGAGCCGAAGGCAGACGCTTAACGACTGAGCCACCCAGGCGCCCCGAGTTTTGCAAAGTTTTAATGACTTAAAAATGAAATATTTAGAACAGTGCCTGCCACATAGTAATTATTCAGTAAATATTAATTCTTAGAAGAAAGAGAAGAAAGATTGAAAAGATAGGCATCCATCCCTTGGATAGTGATGGAGACAACTTAAGTTCCCATTGTTTTAAAAATATGAATCTTTTAGTGCCACACAGTTTATTTCAAATAGACTTAAAACAAGGGGTCTTGATTTTTTTTGATGAACCAGCAAATTAACTTACCTAATAATGAAATTCCAGAATAAAGTCTGTAATAGAATGACTTAATTACCATAAAATTTATGGGTAAAATTAGTCTCCTATGCCAGATTCACAACTCAGAGTGAATAGTTTTATACCACAGTCAAATGTAGCTTGTAATAAAAGTTCAAGGTGTTAAGGTTACAAGTCAGCAATCCTGGAGAAGTTAAAACAAACCTTTTAATGTTACAGCAAAGCTCTTTGCTTTTCTTAGTAAACAAGCAGAAATTCAGCTTCGTGATTAGAAGTATATAGGAAGTATAGATTTATTTTAACTTTTGTTCTGACTTGTAGAAACACTTGCTTAACCCTTTATTTATCCAGTGTGATGTAAAAGCTATACCTGTGTGATTTGCCCTCTTGAACTACCTGCTCAGTAGTCTGTCATTTGTTCAAAATGGCTTGTTCAATTGCTAATTGAAGGGAAGATAGTGCATTGGCAGCATAGGTTTTGGTTTTTCCTGAGGCTCCACATAAAGACAGAGAAACTAGATAGCAAAACTAAAAATCCGCTGACAATATCTACAACAAAATTGGGTAATATATTTTCTAAGAACAATTGTGTGGGGAGTAATTGCCAGCGGCCACAAGGTCTTCATGTTGCCAGTGTCTGTGTCAGGAGAAAACAGGGAAGCAGGGGAGCCAATTTCTGATGGATCTGGGGACAAAAAAGTTACAAAGTAACCATGAGATAATTCACTAGACAGTAGAGCAAGCCATTTTGAAAACAGCAGCCGAAACTGGATAATATCAGTCTAATAGCAGAGAGTGTCTCATGGTAAGGCTTGAATCAGGCTGGAGCATTTATAGCCTCTGTGAATTCTTGAAATGGACAGGCCAGAGGTCCCTTCCAGATAGGACCAGACAAGAGAGAAAAATTGAGCAGGATAGGGACCATAGAAAAAGAAGGGTCCAGATGTAAGTAGGATTAAGAGAAGAGAGCCAGAATATTTCAAAAACAAGCTACTATGTATGTATATATAAATGTTTAAATTTGAGTGTAGTTGACCATATTACTAGTTTCAGGTATACTTCATGGCAGCTCAACGTTTAAATATGATGCTATTCTCCCACAAGTGTAGCTACCATCTGTTACTATACAGTGCTATGACAATATCACTGACTATATTCCTTATGCTGTGCCTTTATTCCTGTGACTTATTCCTTCCATAACTGAAGCCTGTATCTCCCACTCCCTTTCACCAATTGCCCATCCTCCCCATCCCCTGCCTTCTGGCAACCATCAGTTTGTTCTGTGTATTTACAGGTCTGATTCTGCTTTTTGTTTGTTTATTCATTTCTTTTAATATTCCACATATGAGTGAAGTCATATGTTATTTGTCTTTCTCAGTCTGACTTGTTTCCCTTGCATAGTACCCTCTAGGTTCATCCATGTTGTTGCAAGTGGCAAGGTCCCATCCTTTTTATGGCTGTGTAATACTTGTGTGTGTGTGTGTGTGTGTGTGTGTGTGTGTACCACATCTTCCTTATCCATTCATTTAATGGACTCTTAGGTTGCTTCCTTTATCTTGGGTGTTGTAAATAATATTGTAGTAAACATAGGGGTGCATAAATTAAATAAATTAGTGTTCTCATTTTCTTTGGGTAAATTCCCAATAGTGAAATTATTGGATCATATGGTATTTCTATTTTTAACTTTTTGAGGAACTTCTGTGGCTGTATTACGGTACTGTATTTTTTAACAATATATGAAAATAGTAGAAGGAGGAGGTCTGAAGCAGAAAAGCCGTCCAGAATGTTCTACAGATTAGGAAAATGAATTTAATGTAAGATATGCAACAGAAGAGGATCAGGGCCAAACTTCTTCAGTGTGTTAAGAAAAAAGAATAAGGAGAAGAAGAATTTATCTATAGATAGTGAAAGCATGTCAGAAATGCATGCCTCTCATACAGATCAAACCTGAAGCCTGCTTTTTCAAAAAGATACGTTAAGAAAGTGATACAAAAAGATAGATTAAGAAAGTTGTTCTTTCATAAACAACATAAATCTGAAATATATGAATTTGGAAATAAAGTTATAATAGATGGGGCAAAATTAGAAACAAAAGAAAAAAATCATTTCCAAAATGAAGACTAAACTACAAAGATGACAAGAGCTAAAAATACAACAGATAATGCCCTCAGAAAAGAACAGGTAAATATGAGGAACATTTTGAAAATTAAAGGGAAATGAAGGAGGCACTGGGGATCTAGGCATAAAAAGTCTCTGTAAGATTTTGAAATCTAGTGAGAAACTCAGGCACACAAGTAAATTAAGATGGTATGTCTGAGTAGCCTGTATTGGAACAATCTTGAAGATAAGTATTGTAAATTCTGGACAAAGTTTAAAAAAATCACTGTCTGAAGATACTAGATCAATATCTAAAAGTAGGCAGAAACTGGACAGGATTCAGCATCTGGAAGAGGGAATGACACTTTTATTTGCCTGGATTTTGGCCTGATGGCAGGCCCCATCCAGTGTTTGGAATTTTGGATTTGGACAAAAACCAGAAGTTTATACTGGCTTGAAGAACCAAAGGATAGTGTTTAGAGGTATGTAAGCAGCTGAAAGAAGGGGAGAAATTTTAGGATGGAGAGAGCTACAGAGAACTCGGAGCACCAAATTCTGCACATAAATTCTTCCCAAATCTCTGGTTGACAGTTGAACTACACATGGTTGCAGCAAGGTCAAAGTAGCCTAGTAAGGCTAAAAGAACTGAATATATTTCAGCTGTTGATCATTACAGAGAGAGTTTAAGTTCGTCCCAACTGCCTGCTAAAACAAAGCAAAAAGCAATCGGCTTAAAAGGAATATGAACAATTCCAGAGTCTTCTTTTTTTTTTTTTTAAAGATTTTATTTATTCATCCGAGAGAGAGAGAATGAGAGACAGAGAGCATGAGAGGGAGGAGGGTCAGAGGGAGAAGCAGACTCCCTGCCGAGCAGGGAGCCCGATGCGGGACTCGATCCCGGGACTCCAGGATCATGGCCTGAGCCGAAGGTAGTCGCTTAACCAACTGAGCCACCCAGGTGCCCCAGAGTCTTCTTAATATATCATTCATCATGTCCAGGATACAAACCAATTTACTAGATATCTGTTAAGAAACAAATATGATCCTTGGTGAAGAGAAAAAGTAAGCAATGGAAATATTGGTGATGTAGATGTTGAAGTTAGAAAAAAGTTTTTTTAAAAAAAATATTTGACAGAGAGAGAGACACAGCAAGAGAGGGAACACAAGCGGGGGGAGTGGGAGAGGGAGAAGAAGCCTTCCTGCTGAGCCAGGAGCCTGATGTGGGGCTCGATCCCAGGACCCTGGGATCATGACCTGAGC